GAGCTGCCACAACCAAGGATTGTCTGCTGTGAAAGGTCAATGGTGCCAAAGTTGAGAAACCCTGGTCTAGAACTTACCCTGGGCATTCGTTACTTTCCCTCCTTTCTAGACTTCTTGGCCTAAGAGATTTGGGCCCCACTCACCTGGGGGGGGGGGAGGTCACAGGAAGGAAGAGTGGTATACCCTACCCCATTTCCAGGTTAGGTGCCAGGGTCAGTGCTCAAGCCACACCTCCAACAGAAATGGTCACCAATTTCCCACTATGACAACTCTGATCTCAGTCTCCCTGTCCACTGCGGGGAGGAGTTCTGGTCAGAGCAGGAGACCCCAGTTGGTTTCACTGCTTATGGTGGGTCACCCCCAAAGCCTGCTCAGTCTGGCCGGGTTTAGGTTAGTTTCCAGTTGTGGCCACAAGATGGCACCCCTACCCACTGGGACTGCTAAGGCTCTGAGCCTGGGAGAGCAGCATAGAGGATGTGCCAAGCTGGACAAAGGCCGGGGGGGCTGGACTTGGGCCAGTTCCAGAGCTTAGCAGGACCAGATCTAAGGCTTGCAAGTGCCAAGTGTGAGAACATAGGCCAAACTTGGCTTCAGGACTCCCTTCACCTTCTTCTAGTCCACTCTCAGCCCTAGCTCCTCCTGGAGCCTTTCTCACCACAGAGCTCATGGAACCTCGCACACCCTCCCCTCCAGGCAGAACAAGAGAAATCCCAGAGCTGAGGTGTTAAAGGATATAGGGCTTATTATTATTCATATCCAACAATAAAGAAGCTGAGGCCTAGAGAAGTTGAAGAACTTGCCCAAGGTCATAGCTAAGTCAATGATGGAGCTGGGATTTGAATACAGGCAGCCAGGCCCTAGAGTCTATATTCTCGACCACTGAAGACCACCAGAGCACTGGTGGTTCATTGCACCCTCTTCTCATCAGCCACTGATCCCAAGGACCCTCTGGCATAGGACCATGAGGCTTCCTCTGCAAGAGAAGGGACAGATGGCTATGAATAAAGAGGGTGTAGCTCAAGTGGAAAGGGGTGAGGGTCTTGGCTGGGCTGAGGACCTATGGTTAGTGGTTGTGGGTGAGAAGCTAAGGCTCAGGCAGCAATTCCTCCTCCCACCCCCACTTCTCGGGGGGAGGGGTTCTTTCTTTCTGTGTTGCCCTCCCAGTTTTTCTGGGCTTTCTGCAAATGCCAGCCTTTTACAGTGTGAAAAGGAAGTGAGATAAGGGACTTTTATGTCCTTGCTTGCCGGGGGGTGGGGTGGGGTGCAGGGAACATTCTTTGGGGCCTGGACTGGGAGTTGCCATCAAGGATCAAAGTGACAACCCTAAAGTGGGACAGCTCCCCTGTCCCCTGGGAAGCTCCTCTCTCTGAGCCTTTCTGCTTGCCATGTAGGGGATTTTAGGGTGTAGTGGATACCCTTTTACATTTCCCCTCACTCCAACTTTTATCTGCCTCTCTTTTTCTAGTTCATCCTCCAGGGCCAGAACTGACTAGGGCTCCTAATCACTAACTTTGCTCCTACGAGCAGCCTTCCTCTACCTCTCCACCTCTCCACCTGTCCACTACATGGAGCACCCTTCAGCTTCCCATTGTGGTTCACCATGGGAGGTAGTGGCCTCAGTGGGCTCTGCACTGACTCCCTGAGAGATCCTGGGTATGACCTTCCACCCTGTCACAGCCTTGGTTCAGGGCTCTGGACATTCCTGGCCTCTGACACTGGGATGCTCTGATCCCAGGCCCTCTCTTGGCCTTTCTCAAATTATCTAGCCCTGAGTGAGGAACTGCTGTGTTCTGGGCACTGTGGAGGAAAGCAAATGTGCAGCAGCCCCAGGGGAGCTGAAAGTCCGTTTCGGGGAAAGATATGAGCTATAGTGAAGGCTGGGGAGGGATACTCTGATCCAATGTGGTTCTTCCTGCAGGTGAGGGAGGACAGTGAATCCTGGACCTCTACGGCTAGTGCAAACACCAAGGCTTTCTGAGAGAGAAGAAGGGGTTAGACGTCTGGCTAGAAGGAAGAGAAGGTTTGGAGAGGTCTCTTTCTGGTGTCTCCCCGTCGTGGTATCTCCTAGCCAAATGTGTGCAATGTGTGTGTGTGTGGGTGGGTGGGTGGGTGTGTTCATCTCTCTGTGTCCATCTTTTTCTCTTCTTTCTGGGAGTCCCCATTTCTCTGTTTTATCACCTCCTTGGATTGCGGCAGAACTTTCTGAGAGCCTGTGTCCTGGCTAATCTGAATGTGGCAAGACCGTGCTGCATCAGGTCAGAATTCCTCCTGGTTATAAGGGCCCTCTCTTGTTTATGTCTATCTCTGCCCCTGTCTCTGCCCTAACTCTGCCTCTCTCTCTTTCTGCCCTTGTCCTTCTCCCATCGCTCATGTCATGCTCTGCCCCTCACCCTTTCCAAACTTCTCCACTCCTCCAAACCTTTCCCTGCCACAAACAGATTTCCCTGGGCTGGGATTTCCCTGGCCAAGTGAGGAGAGAGATGTGTAAGGCACAGCTTTGTCCTCAGGCTCATAGCTGTGTCTGTAGGTCAGTGTAGAGGGACAGCTGTCTGCACAGTTAGCAAGTGCCGACAGGTAAATAAGAGCCTCCTGTCTTCTTAATTAAATCGCCCTTTGCCCAGGCAGCCCTGTGTTCGATTGGGCTGGGCTGGGATCAATAAGCTTCTTTCCTGGTGCGGCCAACCCTGGAGCTGGGCCTGACCTCCCCAGCCCTGCTCAGGCCCACCTGCCTTCTTCCCCAAAAGCCTGAGAGCCCCAGGAGGGCAAGGTGTCTTGTACCCATGTGCCTGGGACAGAGTGTGGAACAAGAAAGGAGTACAAGAGTGATTGAGTAAACTGAGGCACTGGCAGCAAACATGGGCCAGAAAGGCTTGGAGGCCCACACTGTAACCCCCATCCCCAAGATCAACTGTGAAGCTGTGGGAATCATAGCAGGAGCTGCTCCCATCCAGCTCCCCGCCCCAACAACAGCTTACAGCCCAGGGAGGCTGAAGCCCAGTTGGGAGAGAGGGATGTCAGTGTTCAGGACCACTAGGAGCAGTTGCTCCTTTTGACCTCTAAAGGCTGAATACCCCTTTCATAGGCGATCCCCACCCAGGGATCCAGAGCTAGTGTGGGAGGATCAGTGAGCTGGGATCAGTATGGCAGAGCCTGTGGCCCTCAATGGGAGACTAGGGTCAGCCTGGAGTTGTGAAGGGCCCAAGATGAGTAAGGGGTCGAGAGGCAATCACAAGGTTCCAGGCTTATTGGGTTGTTAGGAGGGCTTAGAGGACAGCGTTCGTTGTGTGTTGTGTGTTTGAAGGATGTTATTTTGGAGTCCATTCAAGAGGAACCTCTGACAGGATCACGGGGGCTCCAGGTTCTGCAGAAAAGGTCGGTATTAAAGGTTGCTTGGAGCCGCCAATACTGGTTCAGATCAAGGCGTCTCTGATAGCGGTCGGGGTCGTCACATTTCACTATGGGATCGGAAAGTCCCTTGTTTGGAAGGACAGGGACGGGTGCCGACGCCCTTGTAACCTCAGTCTGACCCGGGGGGCGCAGGCCTTAGACGTCTCCCGGAGCCCCCGCCCATCGAGTGGCGTTTCCCCAGGGCGGAGCGTCGGCGGGTCCCCCAGGAGAGCAGGATCCACGCGGGGCGGGCGCCCCCAGCGCCGGGGTTGAGGGAGGCCGGCTCCGCGCCCGGCTGGGAGGGGGGCGCGGAATCGGGGCTTTTTAGGACCCAGCGCGGCGCCTCCCTCCGGGGGCGAGTGCGGCTGCGCGCGCCGTGTGCTTGTGTCCGGAGAGCGGCGGGCTGGACGCGGACCGCGCGAGCGAGCAAGCGAGCAAGCGAGCCTAGCAGCAGCCCGGGCGGCAGCAGCGTCGCGGCGGCGGCGGCCGCTCCGCGCCTCGCCTCCCCGGCCTCGCCGGCTTAGCCGGCCTCGCCTCCCCGCGCCTGGACCCGCCACCCCCGCCTCCCGGTCGCGACCGCCGCAGCCCCTCGCCTTGACCGGCACCTTCAACCGCCTTCCCGAAGCCGGGCGCGAAGCGCGGGGCGCAGAGGCACCAGAGCCAGTGCCCACCGGCCTCGCAGACCGAGCCCAGCCCGGAGAACCCGTGCTCGGCCCCGCGCAGCTCCGCTACAGCCCGGGAGCTGTCCCTTCAGCACTGCCGCCGGAGCCTGAGCGTAGCCCCGCGGAAGCCCAGCTCGAGGCGGAGCGCGCACCGAGCGCAGCGCTCCGCGGTCGCCGCACCGAGCAGCGCCCCGGGTGCCCCTGCCCAGGGGGCCCGCCATCTCCTCCAAGAGGCGGGGAGAAGGAGCGAGGAGGGCGGGCGGGCAGGCAGGCGCGCCCGCCGCCGGGGGGAGCAGGCAGCCAGGCAAGGAGAGAGGGAGGGGACCGGAGCCTGCCCTGCGCCCCGAGCTGCAGCCCGGCCACGCAGGGAAGAAGGCAGCGGTCATCCATCTCCCCAGCGCCGAGAGCGCGCTGCGGCGACCACCGCACAGCCGAGCGCGAATTTCCCGGCCCCCTCTCCTCCCCTCCCCCTTCCGGGGGCTGATCTATCTGTCCGGGCTTTGGAGCAGCTGACCTTCCCCCCAAAAAGCTTTGTGTCAATTTCTTCATTTTCCCGCTGAGATGGGGACGGGAGCCCGGCCCCCCAACCCTCTTTTCCCTCCTACCGGGGCTCGCCGCTGAGCGCAGTCCGTCTTCCTCCCTTCCTCCCTCCCTTTCTTCCTCCCTTCTTTCCTCCTCTGCCTCCTCCGCAGCCGGACCAGCTCCCTCCCCACATCTGGCGCCTAGAGACCCCTGGGATCCCGCGCACACTCCCTCGGACCAGCACCCGACAGAAAGCGCCCCGAGGGGCTTGGGTCGCTCTTGGGGTGGCCAGAGCCACCATCCTCTGTACCCCCCGACGGCTGGGGGGAGGGGGGAGGAGCCCCCGCGCCCCCCTCCCCGGCGCCAACTCCCCCTGGCGGCCGCTCCATGGGTGTCGCTGGGCCGCGCCATGCCTAAGGGGGCGCCGCGATGGGCCAAGGGGACGAAAGCGAGCGCATCGTGATCAACGTGGGCGGCACGCGCCACCAGACGTACCGCTCGACGCTGCGCACGCTGCCCGGCACGCGGCTCGCCTGGCTGGCGGAGCCCGACGCCCACAGCCATTTCGACTATGACCCGCGCGCCGACGAGTTCTTTTTCGACCGCCACCCAGGCGTCTTCGCGCACATCCTGAACTACTACCGCACTGGCAAGTTGCACTGCCCCGCCGACGTGTGCGGGCCACTCTATGAGGAGGAGCTGGCCTTCTGGGGCATCGACGAGACCGACGTGGAGCCCTGCTGCTGGATGACTTACCGCCAGCATCGCGACGCAGAGGAGGCGCTCGATAGCTTTGGCGGCGCACCCCTTGACAACAGCGCCGACGACGCGGACGCCGACGGCCCCGGCGACTCAGGCGACGGTGAGGACGAGCTGGAGATGACCAAGCGCCTGGCGCTTAGCGACTCCCCGGACGGACGGTCGGGCGGCTTCTGGCGCCGCTGGCAGCCGCGCATCTGGGCGCTCTTCGAGGACCCCTACTCCTCCCGCTACGCGCGGGTAAGTGACAATCTCTCCATCAAAAGAGCGGAGCCTGGTGGGGAAGGCAGGGTCTTCTGTCTCCCTGGGGCGGGGGTGGATTCCAGAACTGGCGCTTAGAGAGTCAGAACTGAAAGGAGTGTGTGTGTGTGTGTGTACATAGGAAACCGTGTATAAGAGGGAGGATAAAAAAGAGGGTGCTCTTCAAGGGTGGTTAGTTTTGTAGGTATGGAAGGTCTGCGTCTGTATTTCCAAATTTAATACGTCTGAGTGAGTACAAATGGGTGTTTGTGTGTATGAGTAGATTGTGTGTGCATATTTATGTAAGTATGGTGGTGTCTATTTGGGTGGGTCAGATATTAGTGGGAAGGAGAGAACATGTGTGTATGTTTGAGTGTGCAGGAGTGCCTGTGCATGCATGTTTGTGTCTTTGCGGATGTACACGGGGAAGATGTGAGCTGCCCTTTAGATTTTGTTATGGGGAGAGGAGCTGGGAGCCCTTCCTCCCTCCGAGGGAAAGGCATCTGGAGCCAGTCAGGGCCTATAGGGGAGGGCCTGGCCTGGTCCGCTGCTTGAGGCAGACCATCCCTCCCCAGGGAACAACCTAGGGCTGTTGTGAAGAAATGGTCAAGGGGGGATCTTATGGCTAATTAATAGCTTGGTAGTGGGTATGGATGGGCCTGGGCTATGGAGAGGGTGACGTGGCCCCTCAGACCTTCTTCTTCTGGGAACACCGCCTGTCCTTCTTCATCAAAAGGGGGGGCGGTGTGGAGGGGGCCACTAGGCTTATGCCTGTGCTGCCTCTGGGACCTGTCAGGAGCAGAGTGGGGGCTTCTAAAAGGGAACCTGCAGGAAGGTGTGTGAGAGGTGGGCGTGTCTTCATCAGCCACTCCCCTTTCTGGATAGCAGCGGGTTGCTGGAGAGCAAGGGCACCCTGCTGCTGACCTTGGCCTCTCAGAGGCTTCTATGGATTAGTTTCTTCCTTTGTAAAATGGGAAAAGGGGTCTGGTGAAATCTACGGGTCTTTATTTGCTTCACTGAGCCGAAAAGGGAAACACTGGTAGTAGCCACCCACCCTGGAGGAGATGTCCCTTGCATTCCCTGGGCTCTGTGAGGTCTGAATGGAACCTAAAGCATGAGGGGGAAGGTCTGAGTTGGGAACTTAAAGCAAAGCTCCCCCCCCCACCCCCTACCAGGCAAATCACTGCTCTTTTTTACTGTTCCACATCCCTTCCCTCCTGCCCCCAGGAGCCAAGGTGGGGAGGATGGGGCAGGGGAGGGGGCAGGATCAGTGCTGAGGGCCAGTGGGGGAAGGGGACTTGGGGGGCACTGATGTGTCCACAGGGAGAAAAGGGCTGTGTTTAGGCACAGGCCTGGTAGATCTGTGATGTTTTAGCGTGTGAAGGAGGGAGAGCAGGACAGATTCTTATACATTAAATCCTAGAACAGATGTGTGTGTTGGGGGGTGGTTGGGGAGAGGACCAAGCCCCTCATTTTGCCATTGAAGACCCTATACACAAGGTCACTCAGGGAGCTAGAAGCGAAGCAGGACTAGAACCCAGGTCTCCTGGGACCCCATCCTCCCCTGAGCTGGCTGCCAGCTCCCTGCCATTCCCAGAATGGACTGGACCCTCAGAGGTCTACCCTCCCCTCTCCTCCTGACAGAGGCCACCATAGCCAGGGGATTATGTAACTGGAGGCTGTGGCTGAGCTGTGGGGAGGGGCAGGAGAGGGGGACTGGGAGGTTGAACCAGTACCTGCTGGGCTGGGGGCATGCTGGCAAAGGCCTGGGTTACAGCCACCCATTCAGCCTGCATTTGACCTTGGACAGCATCTCACCAGCACCACCACCCTCCTCAGCCCAGGAAGGAAGGAGAAGGCCCAACTTCCTCATTGTCCTTTCGCCCACCTGGATCTCTAGTAAGAGTCTGGATACCCCCACCCCAATGTTGGACTCAGCTTTCAGGTTCTGGGCTGTGCTCCTGACTTTCAGGATAGGCAGGGGACATATGGGGCCTCTTCCATCCCATCACCGTCCATCCTCTTCCACTTGACGTTCTTAGGCCACGGGGTGGCCTTCACCCAATGCAGATAAATGGGCTGGTTAGTGTGGTTTGGGGTCTTGTTGGTGTTTGAAACCTTACAGAAATGTCCTGATTGTCTCAAGTGTTCACTGAAGAGCAGACTCTAAGCGAAGGGCTGGGGTGTCTTGGGGAGGTGGAGGTGGGTTAGAAGCCCCCCACCATCTGTGCCACCAGCTTCTCTCCCCAGGAGACTCATAGAGTCATTCTAACTCCTTTGAGTGACATCTGAGGACACTGAGGCCCACAGAGGAGGGACCTGTCCAAGGGCGCTCATGGGAACTGAGGGCAGAGCCTGGATTAGAACCCAGGCTTCCTGCTGCACGCCGGGCTGGCCTAGCTGCATTGCACTGCCTCTCTGCGGCTCATCTGCGCAGGGAGCAGCCGGCTGCCTGCCCTTCCTCCCCCTTGTCTCTGCTCTGCCGCTGCTGTCACCTTTGTTTACCCCTCCCCCTCCTCACACGGGTGGGTCAGGATTTAAATTTGTATTCTAGATGCTAGACCAGAATCCTGGATGCATGTGACATTGCATGTACGTGTGGAAGAAAAGCTGTACGTGTGTGAGAGAGACTCTATGTAAGAGGGATTTTCTGTGGGTGTGAGAGACGCTTCATACGTGTGAGAAATGCTGGATAAGAATAAAAACATGTGTGAGAGAGACTGTGGGAGTAGGGTGTGCGTGCATGTGCCCCTGTGCACGTGTGTGTGGTATGTGTGTGTTTGTGGTGAGACTCTGTGAGAGAGATTCTGTGAGTCTCTGTATCAGAAATCCTGTGTGAATGTGAGAGAGACAGATTCCGTGTGTTTGGAGATGGACTTTGTGTGTGAGAACGAGACAGCGTGGGAGACAGCGCGTACATAAGAAAGAGAGGGAGACTGTATGTGTAAAAGAAATGCTGGGTGTGTGTGAGAAACTTAAGGTGAGTGTGTCCCTGTGTGAGCATATGGCTGTTGTGGCGAGTGTGACATTGCACACGTGAAGCTTTGCCTGTGAGGCCGTATGTGTGTGTGTGTGTGTGTGTGTGTGTGTGTGTGTGCGTGTGTGTGTGTAAGGCTGTGTGCATGAGAACATCTGTGCATGAGGCCATACATGATGTGGGGGACCCTGCGTGTGGCTCGGACTGTGTGTTTGAGGCTCTGGGTGTCAGTGTGCTGTGGGTGATTGTTTGTGACAGAGACCCTGTCTCTGTGTGGGTGTGTCTTGAGGAGGATGAAACTCCACACCAGCTTCCTGCTTGCTCCCTTGATCTCCTGGTCCTCCCGTGCTGCCTTAGTGAGCGATTTTGTTCCTCATGCCTGTCCTCGGTTGAAATACTGCTCTAGCCCAGGCCAGTGGTGGGCGCATGGATCAGACAGATAGTGAGGCCACCCTGCCCCAGGCCTTCTTGCTGGCCCTGGAAGGTAAGGGCTGTTTGGCTGGAGCGGGAGGTCCCATCTGACCCCTTGAGGGGTGACAGTGCGAGCTAGAGCAGCCGGTTCCCTGGGTCCCCTCTCCTATACCTTACTGGGCACCGAGGCTGAGGGGGTGAGGGGTGGGGAGGTGAGCTGGCACAGGACGGGGTGAAGGGTGGACACACACAAGCAAAGGATGATGGTGACTCTCTGTGGTAAGGACTGTGAGGGGGCTTCCCGGGGCTCTGAGAGGACGCACAGTCCCAGAGGAGGCAATGCTAGGGTAAGCTTTAGGGGGCAGGTTGGAATTAGCCAGGCAGATGGCAGGGGATGGCAGTCCTGGCACACGAAGCCATGAGGGTGTGGGAGCAGGCAGGGCTATTGGCAAAGCCTGGGGCAGCCCTGCCTTCAAACCTGTTCTTCTCTCTGTCTTGGCTTTTATCTGAGATTTGCACGTTTTCATCAGGAACATTGTTCTGTGTCAGGTCAGGGCTAATGGTGGTCCTTGTTCCGTAGGCCAGTGAGTATCCTTAATATGGGGTGTGTACATGTGTGTGTGTGTGTCATGAGATCTGTCCCCCCCTTCAAGTGACAGTCATTTGACCTTCCAAATGACAAGGAAGTGCCAGTGGTTCCCAAGCTGGGGAAGCCCCACCAGCCCACTGCCCACCTCCCCTCTGATGCTGGCTGTCTGTCTCTCTGCCTTGTCCCCTGTTCTTTGGGACCCAAGGCAGCCCTAACTTCTCCTCAGCTCCCTGGGAAGGAAATGCACTTGGTGGCTGGAGTGAAGAGCCCAGCAAGAGACTTCTGTTCCTCCCTTGGGTCTTAGTCGACACAGGGCTCTTGGAGTCTTGGTGAGAGGCAGAGAGAGAGAGCTGTTATGAGGGACTTCTGAGAGAGCCCCCCACCTCAGAGTCTGCCAGGGGCCCACTTCTAGTCATGGTAACATGTGAAGGAGACCATGAGTGGTAGAGAAGGGGCTGCTGTGTTACCCTCCCTGCTGCCACCCCGTGTGTCCCCCACCACAGTGTCTCTTTCCCCCACTTGCTGTTTTTCTCCTTCCTATGATGCTTTTATAGGTGTCCTTGTGACTCTGGGTGGTACCACCCCCTGCCCTAGCTCCCTTGTCAGTAGAGAAAAATCACAAACCAGTGTCTCTCATCCCAGTCTCTCAGCCCCTTCACCTCTAAAATTGGCCCTATGACTGAGTTAATGAAAGAGTCACTGAGTTGGTGTATGGAGAGCCCCCTGTCACAGGGCCTCATGTGCAGTAAGCGCTCAGTAAATGTTGGTTGCTATCATCACTCCGATTATCCATGTTATCCTTCCCCTTCGTGGCTCTCTAGAGTCCATCCTTTGCCCTCCATCTCCACGTCTACCATCCTGGTGCAAGCCACCATTGTTCCCCTAAGACCTACCCCTCCAGTGGCTCCCAGCTGTTCTCCTGCCTTCAGCTCCCAGCCCCTCCAGTTCATTCTCCTTGGCCACCACAGAGAGAGGTCTCTTTAACTCATGAATCAGTCAGTCTGTTCCCTTGTGTGTTTAAAA